CCCAGAGCGTGAGGTGTGGCCACACTGCAATCTCTTTTCTTCTGATCTCTTCCTAGGATTTTGGCCACACATGCCTATGTGCCCAGCATGATTTTTTTTAAATGTATTTTATGGGACCAGCAGATGGCGTAATGGCGATGTCGTTGGACTCATGTAGTCGACCACAGTTTGAGTCCTAGACATGGTGTCTTAAACTCACGCTGGGCACGTGTGCATGCGTGCCCAAGATCCTGAAAGGAGACTGGAAGACAAGGGATTGCAGTGTGGTCATCCCCCCTGGGGGTGATTTCTCGCTTTCTGTCTCTCTGTCTCTCTCTTTCTGGTGAGCACACGCGCCCTATAGTAAAAACCTCTCCAATTTTTTTTTTTTTATACATTTAATCACTATACATTATGTAGGTTGTAAACTGAATTTACCCAACATGAATACACTTCACACCAGTCTTGTTGAGGATACAAAACACATTATCATCGACAAATAATAATCCATTTCTGTGTTCCACGCGTGTCTTGGATTTCTATTTTCTTCCTTAATTTCTTTCCTTATACACACCCCATTCTCCCACCCTCTTTCCCCATTGTTTCCAGTGTCCATAACCATTTTCAATGCTTCTATGTCCGCTACTCTTTCTGTTTCCATCATAGTGTGGACAGGGAGTATATGTTAAGTGGAGGTATACAATGTCTCTCTTTCATAGCCTGTCTTGCTTTGCCCAGCAGTAAATCTTCCATTTCCATCCACTTTCTATCAAATGCCAGGGTCTTGTTTTTTCCGGCTGAGTAATATTCCATAGAGTGTATGTGCCACACTTTTTCAATCCATTCTTCTGTTTGTGGACATTTGCATTGGTTTGATATCTTAGCAATTGTGAATAATGCTGAAATAAACATAGAGGTGTAAGCACGTTTCCAACTGAGCGTTTTCCTAACCTTGGGTAGATATCCAGGAGTGGAATTGCTCCATCATATGGTAGTTCTGTGTGAAGGTCTTCAAGGTACCTACATATTATTCTCCACAGTGGCTGAACCAGTTTACATTCCTACCAGCAGTGTGAGAGTTCTTCTTTCACCACAACCTCATCAACACTTAGCATTTCTTGTTTTTTGTTGTTGTTGTTGCTGTTTTCATCTTCGCCATTCTGACTGGGGTTGGATAGTATTCTCACTATGGTTTTGATCTGCATCTCCCTTAAGATGAGTGATGTCGAGCATTTTTTTATATGCTTTTTGGCTGTTCATATATCTTCCTTTGAGAGTTGTTTATTCAGCTCATTTTCCCATCTTTTAATTGGGTCAATCTTTTTTTTTTTCAGGTAAGCCACTTGAGTTCCCTGTGTATTTTGGTTATCAGTCCCTTATCTGAAGCATAATTTACAAAAATATTCTCCCATTCTGAAGGTTGTCAGTTCACACTAGTTACTGTGTCTTTTGCTGTGTAGAAACTTCTTAATCTGATGTAATTCTACGTGTCTATTTTGGGGATTACTGCCTATAGTTTGGGCGGAGGGTCTTATTTAAGAAGCTTTTGGGACCAGCAGTTAACGTAATGGCTATGTTGCTGGACTCCCACGTAGTCAACCGCGGTTTGCGTCCCGGACCCGGTGGCTTAAAACTCACGCCGGGCGCGTGTGCGTGCGTGCTCAAGATCCCGAGAGGAGAATGGAGGAGAAGGGATTGTGGCGTGGCCATCCCCCCTGGGGGGTGATTTCTCGCTTTCTGTCTCTCTGTCTCTGTCTGTCTGGCGAGCGCACGCGCCCTATAGCAAAAACCTCTCCAAAAAAAAAAAAAAGCTTTTGCCTACCCTTCTATCTCCCAGAGTCTCTCTTGTGCTCTCCACCAGTAGTTGTAAAGTTTGAGGTCTTAGCTATAGCTCTTTTATCCGCTTTGATTTTTGTTCATAAAATGATTTTGGGATGGTTCCATTCTTTGGGATCTTTAGAAATAATTTGAGTAGAATGGGGTTTACCTCTTCTTTAAAAGTTCTGCATGATTTTCAAGTCACCAGGTCTGGGACTTGTACCATGGAATTGTCCATGTGGGATCCAGCATTTAACCTCCGTGCAACCTTCTGGCCAGGCAGGTTATTTTTAATTTGCTATGGGCACCTGTGCTCACTGGAGAGAGACAGAAACAGATTTGGGATTTGGGGCACACACATGCACGCACCTGGCATGTTTTTCAAGCCACCAGAGCTGGGACTATGACAACATAGTAGGCCATGTAGGACCCAGCTACCTCAACCACATGCCACCAGCTGGCCCTGGTCAAGTCATTTTTAAGAACTTCTGGATAAAGGGCAGAGGAACTCTTTTTAAAATACATATATAGGAACCAGCAGTTGGCATAATGGCCGTGTTGCTGGACTCCCATGTAGTCAGCCGCGGTTCAAGTCCCGGACCCAGTGGCTAAAACTCACACCAGGTGCGTGTGCGTGCATGCCCAAGATCCCGAGAGGAGAATGGAGGAGAAGGGATTGTGGTGTGGCCATCCCCCCCGGGGGGGTGTGATTTCTCGCTTTCAGTCTCTCTGTCTCTTTCTGGCGAGTGCACATGTCCTATAGCAAAAACTTCTCCAAAACCAAACTACGTATATAATGCTGGGTTTGTGGTAGATAATAATATTCATCTGGCTCAAGACTGAACGATGAAGTCTGCCTACCACCTTCGTTCCTCCACCACCAAGTTTCTCCGCCAAGAGCTGAACAATAACCTGGTTTCTTGTTTAGATTTTAATAACTAGTCAATGCATACAGAAGCCACCTCTAATTCGTCCACCTTTCTGCCACCCTAGCCGGTATTTTTATACACAAGCTAACATGCAGTACACTCATTGTTCCGTGTCTTGCTTTTTCTGATTAACAATGTACCCTGGGACCAGCAGATGGTACAGGAGTTGTGTTGCTGGACTCCCACATGGCCAGCTGTGGTTTGAGTCCTGGACCCAGTGGCTTGAAACGCATGCTGGGTACATGAGCGTGCACGCCCAAAATCCCTAGAGGAGACTGGAGGAGAAGGGATTATGGCATGGCCATTCCCCCTGGGTGGTGCCTGCACCCTATAGCAAAAATCTCTCTTAAAAAGAAAAAGTACCTTAAAAATCTTCCCGAGGCAGCCCATCAGGAGCTTCCTCACCCCGTTTTGTGGTTGTGTGGTGCTCCAGTCTATGCATGAACCCTAATTAATGACCGGTCTCTGGTGTGAGAAGGCAAGGGAGTGTCGGTCTCTCAGTGCCATACACAGGCTGCAGCAGACAGCCTTGATGAGACATACCGTCGCCTACACAAGGACGTCTGTGGGACAAAGCCCTGGAAGGACAACTGCTGAACTGAAATGTAAGGTATACATTTCTAGACTGTGCTCGAGAGACTGCGTGGAGGGAAGCTCTGACAGCCTTGATGAGGGTGCCCGTGCTCACGCTCTAGCCAGGCTGAGAGGCGGGAACTTCCGGTTCAGTGGTCTGACCTGTGCTACCCTCCTCAGGGTGTGGCTAAGAGCTCTGTACGGGGAAGGCCACGCGTGTGCTCATGTGGTTTCTGTTTCTCACGGGAACTCTTTCGGGTTCTTGGTCTTTATCTAATCAATATGTCAGAGGAATCAATCCTGTGTTTAAGAGTTGCAGATAATACCCCTTGTTGGTTATCTTTTAACCTTGCTTTTGGGTTACTGCTCAGCAGAACTGTTTATTTTTCTGTAGTCAAAACTTACCAGTCAGGGTCAGTCAGTGGTGTGGTGGTTAAGGCAGTAGGTGGATCCCTCGTGGACGACTGTGCGATGAGCTCCAGACCTGGCAGCCTGAAAAACACTCCAGGCGCATCTGTGTGCATGTCCGAAATCCCAAGAGGAGAATGGAGAAGGAACTACGGCATGGCCATTCCCCCTGGAGGTGATTTCTCACTTCTGCTCTCTTTCTCTCTCCAGAGAGCACATGGACTCTATAGTAAAGGAACAAAACAAAACAAAACAAAACTGGTAAATTTTTTTTCAGTCTTTGCTTCTAAGGCTCCTAGACTTTATGCCTTGCTCAGATAGGGGCAGGACCCACCCTAGCCCAGCACATAAAGCCTTTTTGTCAGTACAACCAGATGGGAGTGACTTACTGATCCCTCGAGGATAATTCCTCTGTAACAGATCTCAACTGCAAGGGACACGCACTGAACTGATGACAACTCAGTATTAAATAACAGGGGCACTGCGGGGCCCTGGGAAGGACTCCTCTGCCCCGGGGGGATGGCCATGCCACAATCCCTTCTCCATTCTCCTCTTGGGATTTTGTGCACATGCGCACATGTGCCTGGTGTGAGTTTAAGTCACTGGGTCTGGGACTCAAACTATGGCCAATATACGGGAGTCCAGCAATGTAACCACTGAATCATCTGCTTGATTCTTGATGTGACCACTTTCCTTCCATTTTCTTTACTTTCAGTTACCCTAAAGGCAATGTCAGCCTAACAGTTCCCCTGATTAAGTCAACTGCTGTAGTTAGCAATTGTTGGAGGCTGCTGGGGCCTGGGGCCTGGGGCCTGGGGCCTGGCCAGCAGGCTTCCTGATTCCTCCAAGGTACCTCTGCTTTCAGCACTCTCAGGGCTGACCCCTGGAAGCCAACCCCAACCTCAGTTCCAAACAGGCAGACAAGGCCCTCCCCACTGCAGCCACACCACACAGAAACCTGGTCAAAAGCAGAGCCGCAGATGGTTTCTGGGTCAGAGTTCTCCGGACTCGGCTTCCTCCGTGAGTGCGCGAAGGGCCCAACACTCGGGCCCCAGCTCGGGTCTGGCAAAGCTGAAAGCACAGGACACGAGGCCCTGGGACCCGGGCAGCTTCCAACCCTGCTGGCTGGTGGCCTGTCACTGGCATGAAGGGCCAGGTCAGCTCGGGATCTGCAATTTCAGTTTCAAAAAAATGCGACAGGCTGAGTACATGTTGGGCAAGTTCCCTGGCATGTGTACACATAAACTCAGTGTGCAAGTATACACGTATCCCCAGAACACACACAGCTTCGTATTTACACACAGAGCTTTGACTTCCATTTATTGGACATTCACGACGTTACGGGCACATGGAAGGGTGGGTACTTTGCACGTGTGATCTCATTTACGCCTCTTACTCTGAGGGCATGTGGACGAGGTGAGTGATGGCCTGGAAGGCCACGTCCCGAGCTGAGGCTGAGCTGCGACTTGGCGAGGGCCATGTGGCTTTAGGTACTTGATCCCGAACTGTCACGCTGTGTGGGCACTGGCCACCGCCAGGTCCCCAGACTCACCTAGCAATGCCCTGATCCTTACCGACACAGATGGGTTGGAAAGGAAGGCTGGAGTCTCCGAATAGCCACTGGTCTTTATTTCAAAGCACCCCCAATCTCATAGCATGGTTTGCAGGAAGCCTCAGGCATCCCTGACCCTTGGCACTTGGGCACCCCACTGGGCACCAGCTGTGTCCTTCCTGAAAGCAGTTCCTGGGCAAGAGAGAGGTTTCTCAGCACCCCATCCTCCTCCTGCGAACATGGCGCTCCGCTGGCTTGTAAGCCACAGGTGGGGAGGGGCTCCAGACAGCGAGGATCTCCTGGTAGGAAGAAGGTGGGACAGGCCCTGGGTGCAGTTCAACCTGGAGCAGGCCGGGCCCTCGGGAGGCTCCAGAGCAGGCCCAGGCTGGGCCCCCACTGGGTAAATTTCCCGTGTTTTACTGACGTCCACCATCGTCACCGGCTGGCTGGAAACGCTGAATGCAGATGGCCCCGCAGGGCACAAGTCTCCGCTCAACTCTGCTGTAAGGCACCACGCTGCGAGAGGGCTTCTTTCACTCTGTCCACAATGGTCGCCACCTCAGCCATGGCCCCCAGACCTGAGAGTGAGATTCTGTTGTGGCCGAGGGCCTGCCAGGCGGCCAGCAGTGCAGCCCCTCCAAGTGTCCCACCCGGAGCCCAGGCCGAGAAGGCCAGGGTGGTCTCTGCCCCGACCGGTCGTGGCGCATCTCTCCCGACATGCCGAGTCAGGCCCTGAGCACTTGTGGTAGCCATCAGTAACAGTGGGGGGCTGGGACCAGCAGACGACATAGCAGTGAGGTCGCTGGACTCCTACATGGCCCACGGTTTGAGTCCCAGACCCAGTAGCTTGAAAATCATGCCAGGCACGTGTACATGCATGCCCAAGAGCCCAAGAGGAGAATGGAGGAGGAGGGATTGCAGTGTGGCCATCCCCCCGGGGGGCGACTTCTCACTTTCTCTCTGTCTCGCTCACTCTAGCAAGCACACATGTACTAAGTAGAAAACCTCTAAGAACCCAGAAAATAGGGGGGGCTGTGTGCCAGGAGCCCTCCCAGCCCATCACGCTTACTACCTCATTTCGTCCTGACAGCCGAGAGCAGGAGTCGGGGTTCCCATTGCCCAGGTGAGAAAGCTGAGCTCAGGGGACGAGTCTGCTGGACGTGACCCCGAGCTGAGCCTCTGCTAAGCCCTGGGCCGTGCCTGCCAAGGTGCCCACCTTGGTCTCCGCACACGAGCACCTTGGACACGCAGGGGATCTCGATGTAGCCGAAGGCCTTGAGCAGGCCCACCTGCTGCGCGGTCACCGGGTGCTCCCACATGGCGGTGTTCATGGCTGGGCAGAAGAGCAGGGGTTTGCTGCAGTCCCAGGCCCGGATGATGCAGGTCTGTGAGAGGCCGGTGGAGAGTTCTGCTGCACTGCCTGCCCCGCCGCTGAGCCCTTCTATCCCACCCCTCTGGCTCTCGGGGCCCAGTCTGGGTGTAGCCCTCAGGGCACCGGGGCTGTCTCCTAGCTGCCCCCACCCCTGGTGTGGCCCCCCCACACTGAGCACACGCCATTGGCCTGGCCGCCTCCAGACAAGCCTTCCCCATGCGGGCTCCCACTTGCCGGGTATAAGCCCCCCAGGCAGCAGGGCCAGGCTGCGTTCACCCGGCAGCTAAGGACCAGACTGCTAGTCAGGCTGACCCTGTCCACCCCACACTCGCTCCACTTCCAGGCCAACTAACGTCTGGCTATGAAAACACCCCACAGGGGACCAGACCCTCCCGCACACTGCAGCATGAGCCCTCGCTGCAGCCCCATAAAGGGGCTGTCCCGTTCCATAGGTGGGGCAGCTGCGGCTCCCAGAGCTGAACGCGGACCTGAGGTCACCCCAGACAGCATCTCCCACTGCACCGCACTGCCTGGCTACCTCCCAGTTTGCAGCCATCCCAAGTCAGACCAGAGCCGCTGAGAAAGACATGGACCCAGCTCACAGTCCTTAGTGTGGGCTTCCACGTCACATCAACCTGAATTCAAATCCTGGCTGTGCTGCCGAGGCAGGGACTTCAAACAAATTCATGGAAAAGTAGAATTACGATATTTTTGAGCAAACCATTTTGAAACCAGTGCAGTCATGTTATATGCATTGCCCATGAACTGAAGCCCCCCAGTCTCAGTGGTGCTGAGAGTGCGGACGAGGTGTTCAGTGCGGGGCCTCAGCTTCCTCCCGTGGGAAGGCTGTGGGGACGGGGGAGAGTGCTCACGAGGCTCTCGGCACAGGGTCTGCCGCCAGGCACTAGCTCCAGGACAGCTGCTGTGGCTGGGACAGGCTCTGGGCTGCAGTGGTCTCAGTGGGGGAGACAGAGCCTGCCCCCCCCATGCTGCCCCCAGCAGTCCTTCCTGGGCCACAGGCCCCTCCTCTGAAGTGGAGCCCCATGAGAAGAGGAGGAAGTCCAGAGAGCAGTGCCGCCAGCAGGCCAGGCCACGCCCACCCCCCATGCCAGCCCTTCTGGGGGACAGGGAAGAAGCAGGTGCATGGCCCTGGGCTCTGGCTGTGTGCGTCACCCCAGATGCCAGCACTGGTTCCCACCAAGTTCTCTCCGTCCGCTTCCTCTTGGCCCCGGGCCACCTGCTGCTTCTGCAGGAGTGTAGAGCACACCTTGGGGGCCCTGACTGTGTGGTGGGGGCTGGGCAGGAGTGCACGGCACCCCAACCAGGCAGGACCCTAACGCCGCTGCCTCACTGGCAGATCTGGCCTCCCCCACCTTGCCTCAGCACTCGGCGTTTCCTGGACAAACCACATCCCTGCGAACCTCCCGGCCACAGGGGCCGCAGAGGAGGGCCTCCAAGCGCGTGGTCACTGCTGCGTGGCCCAGGCTGTGTGCAGCAGCTCGGGGTGAAGGCTGGGGTCCCCACTGGGGGACCAGTTCCCACCAACTGGTGACCCATGGGAGTCACCCCCTCCCCCCGGACTGGATTCCTAGTTAGTGCAGAGGCCAGGAGCACGGTGTCACCCCAGCACGGTGCTGTCACGAGACCTGCATCTGGGCTCAGGGAGGGGTGACGATCTGGGGGAGGCAGGGGCTGAGCCAGGCAAGAGAGCGGCTGTGGAGAGAGGACAGCCACAGAGGACGCTGGCGGTTCTACCTCCACCTCGTAAGAGTTAAGAAGCCTTGGAATACCTGCGCCCGTGGGCCAGCCCTGTGGTCCAGTGGTTAAGGGAGCCGGATGTCACATGGCCTACCATGTGGCTCAAATTCCAGCCATGGAGGCTTGAAAACTATGCTGAACACGTGTGCTGAGCGCCCCAATCCCCAGAGGGTGAAGACACGGAGAAGGCGTGACCACGTCCTTCAGGGGGTGCTTTCTCCCACTCCCTCTAAAAGGAAAGGAACCCCTCTAGGTGAACGGCCTGGGCACTGGTCTTGGGAACACGTCCACTGCCCAGCCAACTCCGGATGGGGGGACCCCGAACCTTCAAGGAGTGGTGGCAGCTTTGAAAAAGAGGGGAAGCAGAGCTCTCAGAAGAAAGAGAGGGAAGAAGGGAGGCAGGGAGAGAGGGAGAGAGGAGAGGAGGGAGAGAGAGAAAGGAAGAGGTCTCAGAGAGGCAGGGCGAGAAGAAAGGAGAGAAAGAGGGAGGGAGGGAAGCAAGTGGTCTCAGAGGTACCCAGCCCAGCTGAACCG